GGGGAGCTTTACCCTACTACAGCCCCACACCTGTGTGCACATACCTCTTGCAAAGGGAAATTACACACAAAACAGAACCAAAGTTTGAGTGCTATGCGCTGATTTAAGTCATTTGCAGAATTCTCTTCAGGTGCAAAGGCTTGTTACAAAGAAAAAGAAACCACTTTTACCCTGTACCAACCTGTTCTGCTTTCTTTAAAGGGGCCATGAAGGCACAGGATCGGATGCCATGGCAGTGACAGACTGTGAGCCCCAAAAAGGGCAAAGGAGCAAACAACTGCCTGAAGCTCAACAGCACACTCTTGTTCAAGACCGTAACTTGGCTAGAAAAATGGAACAAGAACGCAGGAGGAGAGAAGCAGTAAGTTGCTGGCTCTTGCTTGCTGATTTTGTTTCACCTTTAGTCAAGGATAAAAAAATGTTAGCTCAGGTCCTTTTTTTAAAGGGCTTGCATGATTGAAAACAATGGAACTATGCTGCCTGAAGAGTTAGTCCAGAAAATGAAATGGGCAACTCAAAGTAGGTCTTCAAGTGGTGGAATATGAAAAACTAAACTGTTTGGTCCTATCACTCCCCTAAGCTTAGAATAAGTAAAATCAAATGGCAAAATCGAATTTTCAAGGGAGTCCCTGCCCTTTGAATAACGTCAAAGCTCAAGTCTTGTGAGCTGTCTATCCTCTTTAACATACTCCATGTCAACAAAAGCACTAGTTGTGCTGTTCTGGTATGAAATATTAAAACTGAGCCTTTTTAAACCTAACTTACTGGTCTTATTGGTGTAGGTAACGAATGTTTTTTAACTGCTACTATTTTGTTAAACCTTTTTTAAAAATTCATAATATTGTGCAACAGAATGTAAGAACTGCGGTATGAGATCATGCTAGATCCAGGTAAGGTCTACTGAAGCTTTCATCCTTGTCACACAGGACTTCAACGACATGCAAACTCAAACTTGTAATAACAGAGGAAGCATACACTTTTAGAGAAGAAGCTTTGTAGTTTTTTTCTTAAATCTAACTAATACTATGCAGGTCAAATATTTAATAAAAAGTCCAACTGCTCTGAAAATACATCAATTTTGCTTTCTTGCAGATGGCTTGTACAATTGATATGAATCTGCAGAGTGATATTATGGCATCTTTTGAAGAGTATCTTGAGTGAAAGCTGTAGTTAATACAGAACTTAATTTCACCACTACTGCAAACTGTACAACTTTGAAAATGTACTAGTTACCAGCTAAAACATGAAGACCACTTGAAAGAGTATGTAAGCTCCTCTAAAATGCGTAATATTAAAAGCTTGTTTGTTGACACTTGAAGCATCACAAGCTCTTTTTACTGCTTGTTTAAAATATATGTAACTTAGTCTGCTACATGGTGGAACGTAGTTGTTCTTTTGATTACAGTTTTATATGGTGTATATATATGAGAAAGTATCAGCTGCTTCATTTTTTTTCTCATTTTTTTAAATCAATTTTTTTCAGAAGCACTTGAGAATCTGTTATAAGGACCATAGCCAAATTCTTGTGTTTGACTGTGTTAAGTCACAGTATACTAAATATGCACCTGTAGAAACTACTTTAAACCAAGGCCTTGTCAATTATGTGATTGCTATTAAACCAGTCACTTTACTATGACATGCTTGCACAGAATCTGGGCTGTGCCAAAAGACCTCTATAATAGTGATAATTTCTAAAGGGTGGATGACATTATTTGTAATCATAAAAAAACGTTTCCTGGAACTCTGTGATTTCAGCAGCAAATCCCGTACGGTTGCATGTCTTTTAAGGCCCAGATGCATTGATCTTCTGTTTAATGTATTTTATGTTAACATTACTTTTGGATAAGGGCACAAGCATGTTTGCCAAATGGTTCTGGTTCTTCACAGAAAGAAGTGATCTAAAATATCCCGCTTCTGGCTCCAGTTTGGAAGGCTTTCTGATTAATGCAAGATTTTATTAATGTTGGGATACTTGTCTGAAGTAGAAACTAGAGTGTAAAAAGCCTACATTCTTGTTGATTACATACAGCTATCCCAGATTAAGTACAGGACTAATAAAGCATTGTTTTATAGAATTAATACTAAAACACAGTGTGTATTACCGAAATGCTGGGTGGAAGGGGCTCCCTCGCAATAATCTAGTTCAGTGGTCTCCAAACCTGTTTCATCATGCACCCCATCAGTAAAAAATTTTAAGCATGCACCCCCAAGACGTGTATACTTATTCATTTATAAATTATATACCTGTTCCGTGGTACTAATATATTACGTACATTATAAAAAATGCAGAAGAATGGAAATTAAAAATATTTTAAATAGTGTTTATGTAAGTTTGCTTCGGGTTTTTTGGTTTGTAATTAAGAACAATTGGTTTATATTAAATATTTTCTTCCCACGCTCCACTTTGGAGACCACTGATCTAGTTGAACCTCCCCCTCAGAAGTCTCTCTCTCCACGGGGAGACTTTTGGTCCATTGAGTTCCTGGGTCAAGTTTGAAGTGAAGGTAACACTGCCTGCATTGTGGTGAGGGTCTGCCACTGACCACCCAACTAAGCAAACTAAGCAGACAAGACTTTCTATAAATAACTGAATTTTCAGATAAAGGAAATAAATTGCATCTAAATTCATAAATGACAGCTAAAGCGTGCCTAAAAATGGTAGCCTGGTGCTAGTTCCAAAATATCTATTCTGCAATGAAATACTGCTCTGTATCCTCTGCCATTGCTGGAATGGTAATATTTCATTCAATAGCAGACAGTATATATCAATAAATGTTCAGATTGGGGTATCGCATCTTGAAATGTCTAGGGAAGTCCTCTTACATGAGCCTTGCCTGAATGCGTACTCGAGTGTATGCTGTTTGGGAGATTTGAGTACTTGGCTGGGAAGGGAATTTGGGGTGAAAGGTGGGTCATAACGTAAAGCAGTGCTGTCAGGATGTCTTGTTTCACATCCACATCAAAAGTGATTTAGGCCTGCCTTCATTTGTACTTTGTACATCATTAATAGCTATTTGTCCTGCAATAAAATATTACAGTTCACGTTCCGGACCCCCTACCTTGCCGTCATCTGGACGTGCCTTCTTACTGGGTTAATGCAAGCTCAAGATCTCTTCCTTTGGGAATAGGAGGTGATGGAGGAAAGGGCAAGAATTTATTCTCTGCATTTCACCCATTCAATATAACCATATGTACCTTGCTAACAGCATGAACTGGTACCCTTGCCCCTTCAAAAACTAATTCCAGCTTCTGTGGCTCTATATTGTCATGATGACTTAAAGTCACAATGTCAGTGCTGCTAATGCTAACCTGATAAGCCCTTTATTTGCAACCTACAAGCCAGTTAAAGAGGAGAATCAGTTCCTGCCTCCAGACAGAAGGCTGAGTTTGGAGGAAAGGGAGATGGCCTCCAAACCTAAGTAACAACGTGATTGTGTTTGCCCAACGCTGTCACCGTGCTCAAGCAAGCAGGAATATCACTTGTGCAGATAGGGCCTGCAAACAAAAAGCTGCTTAGACTAAGTATTGTTAGTTGCCTAACAGTTAAAGCATGTACTAAGTTCTGTTACGCCATAAAGTTACCTTGATAATTTGTGAAAACAGCTGCACTAATGTGTTATTCTTACACTCGGGTCTATACTAGTAGATTGTATCTACATGTAAATAAAGGTTAAAATAGTGAGAAGCTTTAAAAAGTTCCTCTGTCACTAATGAATGGAATATGTTAAATATTTTACTACCAACTATGAGTTGGTCAGGTCAGAGTCAGTGACGTGCAAAGTTGTCCTCTTTTGTCTCGGAGAGAAATGGGATTAGTTGAACTGACAAAAGATTAGCAGGCAGATGGCACATCATGGAGGGCAAAGCACATGGTCAAAGCTGGTAAGACAATTTGCCCTGGGGTTGGTTTGGCTTGGCACCTATTGGAACAACGATTTAGAGCAGCAAATGAGAAAGTCCAAATATCAGGAAGACAAAAAAATAATTGTTGGTGTTCTCAATTTTTCTCATTCATGTGAGATATATAGAAGAGTCTAAGATTTCTTCTGCAAAATGCTGGGATGTGTGGAAGGTGTTTGCCCTGTACAAACAGGTTTGCCACATTTATGTTGACAATGTGGTCCAGGAGCACAAAGGAAGTGTTCCTCAGTAAGAGAGGAATTGTACTGCTTCGTTGGCAAACAGGACAGCCAGGGTAGCGCAGGTGGAGATGCCCAGAAATGCTGAGCCAGGGTGTGCAGAAGGGTGTGCAGCAATTTCATCGTGCAAAAGCCACTCAGAACTGCCAGGTCCCCAGCGCTATCTTCTTCCCAGCTCTGACACTGGATCTGTATCTAACATCTGAAGGTGACATAGCTGAACTCCACAGGTCTGCATCATTTAGAATTCTGACGTAAAGCTACTTAGATAGTTAGTGATGTGTAAACTAAAAATAGGCTTGGTTCTAATCTTGGGAAAAAATTAGCTCTGCGGTTTGTACAAGAAATATGGCATAGCTTGGCCAAGTACCTGCTTATAACAAGGCACATCACAGTTCCACCTTTGATCCTTCTTATAGTCTAGACAATTTTGTGAATGCTGCGTCCAACCCGTCGCTGGGCTTCCATCAAATTTTCTTTAGAGGTAAGTGGAAGCTTGTGGTCAACTCCAGAATTTCCAATCTTGGTTTTTGAATTTTTCTTAGGAGACATTTTCTACCATTTCATTCTGATTACTGGTTTATTAAGGAATTCGATGACTACTGTGATATAAACAACATCGGTTGCTTTGCTCCTGCCAAACTCTCTAACTTCTCTAACTGGGTCACTGGTTTACCGAGGTGCACTTCAGGGAAAATCCTGCTTCAGCTAGTCTGATACTGAGAAGCTGCGAAGGCTTCTTCTCTACAAAAAGGGTTATTAGCACAAAGTCTGATGCATAAAAAATTAGCTATATGCTAATCCTAGGGTTGGCGGTATGAGTAATCTGAGCATGAACGGAAGGCTCAGGCTTGGGTAGGCATGATTCATGTAATCCTACTGGAGTCTGCAGAGGTTAGTGCCTTAACTGAATCATCAGCTTCTGATGATGTTCCTGCTCTTCTTGCCCAAGGGAAGGAAGGAGCCTTCAACAGCCCAGCATCTTTTTTCCCCAGCAGCCTGATAAAGCTCCTGACCTTAAGTTCGTAGGGCTCACGTTGAGACAGCAAGCAGGGATCGTGAACGGCATGATTCAGCGTTGTCAGCTGACGTGGGTTGCTGATATTTGTGTTACTGGTTAGGGGAACATGGGCAGCTTTTTACAGCTACTTGAAGATGTTCTCTTCAGTAGTAAAAAATAAATTCAGGTAATGGTTTTGTGTCTTATTTAAACTTTTAAATGCAGGGAAATGAAGTAATGGGCAATTTTTATAACATTCCTTTCTGCTGCTTAAGTTTTGATTTTTCAAAAAAAGAAAAATTTTGAACTGGTTGAAACCAGCATGAATTCTGTCACTGCCTTCAATGGGACTAGGATTCAACATCAGGGTCTATATTTGTGAGTCTGAATTTAGAACAAGTAGGAGAAAGCATTTGGTATGTTACAGACAAAAACTGTCTACAAGCTGTGTTCCATGCATAGTGAAAAATGATACATATTCCGTCTGTATACATGGTTATCCGATTTGGTTTTTTTAAAATAGCTCATTAAATTACATATCTTAACAGATGCATGGTGTCTTTGTACCAGCTTCTACTTCCATGGCTGGACAGAGCAAAAGAAATTTCTTGGAAATTAAGTTCTAATCCTCCAAACTTACCTGGACCGAGAAGAAACTTTGGTCTTTGTCAAATTCAAGTAAAATTTGGTGAAATCCTCCCCACAAAAAAGGCAGGCAGTTGCACACAGGCCAACGTTATCAGCTCACGTGGCCCACGCAAGTCTCAAACCTGCCTGTACCCTCTAGTCTGAGAAGCAAGGGGTTTAAATCGAGGAGTGAAGGTGAGCAGCCTGTGCACCGAGTTGGATCAGGGCTTGTCAGGATTTGACACGCAAGCTCAATTCTACTTTTCTTGCAGTCAGCAACTACGCTGTCCCCATTTCGTTATGCCCCAGAGCTAATAAACTGTAATTTTTCATGACTTGCATTTTTATACCGTGTAAAATCAATCGCTTCCTCTAGTTACGCTTTTTCTTACAATTTTGGATTACGTGACCCATTCCGACTCTCAATTACCCTTTACCCTGCATGTCAGCAGGTTAATACCAGATAGGTGCTGCCTGTGGAGCCTTTCTTCCTACCCCAGCATCCGCGGCCTCATACGTGACTGCGACTCCTTGCCGCGTGCGCGTAGCAGTTTACAACTGACGGACAGGCGTAAGGCTGTTCTGCGTCTGATGTCGGCCTTGGGTGGCTGAGATGTCAGTACTGAATTAACTCTGCTGGGCACAGAGTTAGTAACAGTGACCCAACTTCCCCTTCCAGCAAGGATCTCTGTTGGAGTAAGGTAAACTTGAAAAAATTTTAAGTTTTGGGGCCGGAGCTCAAAATTTGTGTCTTTTAAAGAAATGTTCATAGTAATAGCACGTAAAATGGCAATGCATTTACAGAATCACTTTTGAAGGGGTAACGGCGAAGCAGCAAGGCACGTTCATGTCTTGTGAACCACTAACTCGCGGCCAGGCAGCCGCCGATCACCTCCGGGCTTGCTTCGCACCAAGCAAGTGCGGCCAAGCGCGGGGGCAGCGCCGGGCGGAA